GGGCCGCGCTCTGGCCACGCTGGGGCCAAGAGGGGCGGGCGGCGCTGTCCAGAGCACAGATGGGCAAATCGCAAGGCATCACAGGAGTGATGGAAAAAGAGGCACATGACAGAGCCTGTCTACTGAGCACCAAGCCAGCGCTGGCGCGGATATTTCCGAAGAAACGGAAAAGAAGGCTGTCCTGAGCCCCGCGGGGCCTGTGATGGGAGGACACCGTGAGCTCCGGCAGGGAGCACGGTCCGCGGAGCCCCAGGGCAGGGAGGGCGCGGGAGACCCCAGAGAGTCCGGAGCAGCCATCGAATGTCCTATCCGCTGACAGACTGTAACACGGCTGATTCACAAGTGAGGGTAACGCTGCCCTCTGGGAAGTGCCCACGGCCGACTCCTCACCCCCGCAGGAAAAGTGAGGTGAGCCATTCACAGGACAAATCTTACCTCGCAGAACGTAAGAAGGTGTCATTTGTGTTTATTTTTCATTTACTAAGGGACAGCGGACGTGTTCCCGGCCACTGTGAAGAGGCGGGACGTGCTCTGCAGGGTCGCAGGGTGGCACGTGCGCTCCGACACACGGGGCATGGGGCCCGCCCAGTCCCGAGCCGCTGCACTTACTTTTTCATTAGTTCTGCGATCCTTTGGCACTCCTCCGTGTCATAGAACCAAATCCCGCAGATGGACGCTGCAAAGAACACACCGAACAAGTCATGAGCGTCTTCAAAATCACAAAATGGAAAGAAATTCCCTCTCTGTCTTGAAGGAAATACTTTCTGAATAAATGAAGCCAGTCTTTAGAGTTAAAGCTTGAAAACCCAACTCCGGAGTTTTCTAGGCCCACAGAGAAAGAAATCTGTGGAGGCATCATGTGCGCACGCACGAGAGTACGCTGTCCCGGGAAACACAGCACCCGAGCACAACAGGCACCTGGCGGGCGCTTCCCGCGCGAGCGCACGCAGGCTGAGCGTGCATCGGGCTCTAACCCGCGGTCGGAGACGTCGCTGCCCCCACCCCCTGCACACTCACACGCACTTCCAACTGCGTTTTCCAGGATCCGGAAGCCTGACACACCAATCAGGCCGAGAACCCTCTCCCCCTTCTCCCAGGAAGGCGCCGACTGAAAGGCTGGCCTTCCCAGCCCCGAGTCGGAGCGGGCTGCGGGAAAGATGCAGCTCGGTAATAAATCTCACTTCAGAACGTCTCACAGAGTATTTGCAACTGTTGACAGATTAACTGTGACTATGGCTTAATGACTTAGTGACGAGAGAACGATGTGGCCAAATACAGCTGCCACTATTCATTTAGCAATTTTCAAACAAACTGTGTGCGTCAGCGCGTGCCCGTCCGCGTCACTTCTACCGCAAAGGCCGAACAGTCCCAGCACGCGCGCACAGGTACCGGGGAGAGGAGCTGGCGGCATCAATCACGTAAACGACACAGAAACCACACACACACCTTTAAAATCTATGGACGGGGCCATGAAAGCCAGCAAGACGGATTTTTAAAAGGCAGAAAAAACTTAAAGTTTCGAAGTATTTAATTATATGAAATTACTCGGTCATTAAAACAGCTGCGATACTCTGACAGCCTTTCCCCCTGCTCACCGGACCAGCGGCTCCACGTGGCGTTTCTGCTTCTTGTCAGTGAAGACTCAGAGCAAAAGGAGCAGGAGATGTCGTTTCAGTGCTGTTTCAAGCAGGCGTCTTTGGAAGGGTCCTACACGTCTGGATCACCAACTGCCAAAAGGTGGCCACGGGTGTAACTCTGTGTCATCAGTGCACCAAGAATCTTTATCTTACCCACGTGCGGGGGCCAGTGGGACAACAGCCCAGCTTTCTCCCGGGGGCACTACTGCGTCCTCCTGGAAGTCACTGAGTCACTCATGAGAAAACAGCGTCTTTTGAGTCACTCTTTGAGTCACTGACACTCATGAGAAAACAGCGTCTGAGCTCTGAAGCCTGTGTGCTGAGAGCCTCACTGTCAACAAGAAATTCTCTCTTTCCAAGATCGCTAAGCGAGCATCTCAGAACTGGGTCAGGGCTGTCCCAGGTCCCTCGATGCTGGTTCCCGCACTGGCTGCCCCCCAGGCACCCGCCCTGCGTCCTCCCGAGTGAGAGTAGACCGATGGCTGACACTGAGCCACTAAGAGACCTGAATATGTTGTGTGTTTTGGAGGCTTTAATCCTCGTTACAAAACCAAAATCTGGCTACGCTGAAAACTTCCTTTCCTTGGAGACTGAATTTTCCAAAACTATCCCAGGAGAAAAGTGGCAGCCGGGAAGAAACCACGTAACGAAGCAGCTCGCAGGGAAAGCAGCCGCCTGAGCCTCGTCAGCGCAACGCGGAAGGAGAAGTACCTTGGGTGCCGTTCTGGGGCACCCGGCGCATTTGTGGCATTTGACACAAGGAGCTAGGTTCTTGCAAGGACAGGGTGCCAGGGTCGCCGCGGACATGAGGAGGAAGCCCGCCGCACAGACCCCTCGGATGCCGGCGTGGGTGGACGGAAGGCTGGGTGTGGGGTGGGCGTCCGAGGCGCTGAGGGAGTTCCTCAGGGCCTGCCCACTGACCCCTAGAGCAGCATAACCTCCAGACTAAAATGGCTCATTTTGAAACAGCTCTATTCACCCCAGTTAGTGCAGTTTGTCAAATTTAAATAGCCAGGGGGGTGAAACACATTTACCAACAGTCCCGGCTACTGAAAGGCAGCACCAAGATAAACCACAGAACTGGCCTAACTTTTTCCTCCTTAAAATAGTTTTACAACGTGAGCCACATTCCACAGGGAAGGGGCAGAGAGCTGTGCGTTCCGATGGCAGGTCCTGCTCTCGGGCCCCGCTTCCAGCCCTGACAGACCCATCACTTGTGCACAAGCAGCGGGTGGTGACCTACGAAGACCAGAGCCCGTCTGGGAGGTGACGAGCTGACGGGCTGACAGAAAGCATCACATCTCACTCCCAGCGCCCTGGGAAGCCGCGGGGTGAGGCCAGCCTGTGCCGGCAGCAGGCGCTGCAGGAGGAAGGGAAAAGACCAGGTTGAAAAGAGCCGAAGAAGAAGTGTGGCTCTGGGCTTCTGAAGCTTGAAGCCATCACTGTACCCGACACTTGTGCCTGGGATCCGGGGTGCAGACTCGTGGGGAGCTCGACGTCACTGCGGGGACGGTGTCGGGGTCTGAAAAGGCTCCCGGGATAGCAGCCAGGAGCCCGGGGACCCAGCCATGCTGCGAGCCTTCATCCCACCCGCCACACCCGCCTACCGGCCGCTGCCCAGCCGCTCGGCCGCCCCCGAGGTGGCCTCCCCGGGGACCCTGGTGCACGAGGCTCAGCTCAGCTGCTCCTACATCCATCCTGGAGGTAAGAAACCCGAACGCGGAGTGGCAAACAGGGAGAGCAGGTTGAGATTTACGCTAGAGCAGTCTAGTGACGCGAGAACGTGGCTCCCCACGCCAAGAACACAGCTTCTTGGCCATCTTCTCCATGTCCTGAAATTGCACTTCCCTGGTCATGCCACGCTTTGGAAATTCTCGATCGAAAAAGCAGCCTTTGAGGCCGCAGGGGAGGTCACACCACCTGCTGCACACCTGCCGCTCTCCTGTTGATTCTGTGGGGAGACTAGGGCAGGGGCGACCAGGGCAGTGGAATCGCCGTGTTAGATTTCGTGTCTGAATACTGTCGGTCCAACAGTCAAGCGAGAGCAAGCTGAGGGAGCCGCATAATGCATTTTCTTCTTTGTAAACCTCTCCAGCGGAAAACTCTAAAGCTGATCAAAGTTTAAGAGGCCAGTTGAGAGGCCACAGAGGGACTATCAAATGTCTTTAAACACACATACATGGAAAGCCCTTGATCCTTACGAGCACGGTGCTTGAGTCCATTCTGGAAGTTCCTCGGGGATGTACGTCGTCTAGTTTATGTCCCAACCCAATGTTTCTATAAATCTGTTGTTTTATGACATTTATCATTTGTTCCACATTTGACCCGATACCTTTCAACTCCAAATCATGAAGGTGGCTTGTGATGTCTTAACAAGGGTTCGTGCTAACACCCGAGCAGCATCAGAGCACAAGGCGTATGTGCACACGGGTGGTCAGTGGTGACACTCGACTGCTACCCGTGAGGCTGAAGTGGGGGGGGTCAGGTGTCTGACTTGGTAACGCCCCCTCCCCTGCCCTCCGCGCTCTCTCACTCTCTTTAAAAATAATCTCACCCATTTCTCCTGAAGAAATTGGAAATACGTATTTTTCAGTCAGTAGGCAGCAAAGAAGGCATTTAAGTTCTCTCTGTGCGCGAGGAAAGCCGTGGAAACCCAGCAGAGGGAACTACACAAACCTCTTCTGGGCACTTAGGGATAAACCCCAAATTTAAAAACCCCTCAAACCCCATTTCCTTCAAGAGTCTTTCTCAGATGAGTGCGATAACAATCCCAGGGGAAGGACCAAGAACATCAAATCGTACATTTGGTGTAAACACTCGTTTTTTGAGGCTGTGCTCGAACACAGAATTCCTTGGCTGACTGTACCCCTCACCCAGTGCAGGCCTTCACGGCTTGGCTCACTGGCGGTGCCCAGCGGCCGGCATCTGGTAGGGAGCCTGCACTCGGCTACTACCCTTCCGAAAGATCACAAGAGAGTGAAAAAACCGGACGGCGAGAGCCATGAAATGGTGGAGCTGGAGGTCGGCCCAGCCATGCAGGTCAACAGCCTCGTCCGCCCGTAAAGGTGCCTCACCCGGTTCAACCCCTCCCCGCCACACACGTGAAACACGTCGAGTGCCAGAACAGTTTTCCTGTTTGATTTGCAGGCTTGGTTGTAAGAGATGGGAATCTGTGTTGTTTAAACTAAGGTTCACGGGAACTCTCAGAAGGACACAAGGAAGGATGGATGGAGGTGGGGGCGAGGGAAGGAGGAAGCGGAGAGGAGAGTGTGGAAGCGGGTTCCAGCCTGGCCTGGCCTGGCCTGGCAGGGCGAAGGCAGGGCGAGGGCAGGCTCTGGCCCCACAGCCAAAGGGAAGCAGGCTGTGCTTGGCCGCTCCAGGCCGAGTCGGTACTTCCACCCCATTTGGAAAGCTTTGCACTAGAAACGCGTTCCCTCCGTGTGTTCTGTAATGTCTTCAAAGTAATGTTCCCTCATGCACCTTCTGCCTTCGCTTTACTGGCCAGATACGGACGCAATCTTGTAAAACAAAACCCTCACTGGCCCTGACAGTCCACAGAGCACTGTTATCTCTGGCCCTGGCCTGGCTCTCCTCACATGACAGCTTGGCGGCACCTCACCAATCAGGGGTCCCGTGGTCTCCAAGCACTGCAAGGTTCACAGTAGGTGAGAGGTCGGTTCTCCTCTATGGGTGACTAATCCTCATGCGCATTTTGGGGGAAACAGTAGAAAATCAAATACTACGAAGTAAAAACAACCTCCCTCCTTCTAAATAAACTAACTTCATTCCAAAGGTGATGCCACAAACAACAGCAGAACAGCCTCTCGGCGGAAGCATCACACTAACGTGGATTTAATTAACGCGTGTGTCCAGCTATAAATGAGAATTCACGATCTTCAGAGAAAAAGAGGGATTTCTCTTTTACAAAGTTTCCATTTGTAACAAATGCACGTTGTCATCAGAGCTTCCAAGCCTTCAGAGTCTTCAGCCCCCGAAGTGGGGTCCCGGGGTCTGGCACTGCCCACGGGTTCACAGAAGG